ATGCTGCCACTTTGCCAATCCATCTCATTGGGGGTCTTCCTCTTTTTCTCTGACATGATATCCTTCTCCAGTGACTGGTCCTTCCTGACAATACGTCCAAAGTATGAGAGAAGAAGTTTGGCCATCCCGGCCTCCAAGGAGCACTCTGGCTGCACTTCTTCCAACACAGATCTGTAGGTTCTTTTGGCAGCCCATGGCACTTTCAATATTCTCCACCAACACCATAAATCAAAAGCTTCAATTCTTCTACTGTTTTCCTTATTCACTGTCCAGTTATCGCATGTATATGAGGTTATTGAAAATACCAAGCTTGGGTCAGGCATACCTTAGTCCTCAAACTGACATCTTTGCTCTTCAACACTTTAAAAAGGTCTTGTATAGCAGATTTGCCAATGCAATATGTCGTTTGATCTCTTGACTGCCGCTTCCTCGAGTGTTGATAGTTGATCCAACAAGTTGTCCTTGACAACTTTAATCTTTTCTCCATTGATAAGAATGTTGTTTATTGGTCCAGTGGTGAGGATTTTTGCTTTCTTTACATTGAGATGCAATCTATACTGAAGACTGTGCTCTTCATCAGTAAATATTTTAAGTCCTCTTCATTTTCAGCAAATAAGGTATCATCTGCATATCACAGGTTGTTAATGAGTCTTCCTCCAATCCTTATGCCATGTTTTTATTCATATAAGCCAGCTTCTTGGATTATTTGCTCAGCATAAAGGTTGAATAAGTATGGTAAAAGAAGGCAACCCTGTTGCACATCTTTCTTAATTTTAAAACATTCAGTGTTCCCATGCTCTGTTCGAACAACTGCTTCTTGGTCCATGTACAGATTCTGCATGAGCACAATTAAGTGTTCAGGAATACTCATACTTCGCAATGTTGTCCATAGCTTGTCATGATCCACACAATGAAAGCCTTTGCATAGTCGATAAAGCACAGGTACACATCTTTCTTGTATTCTCTGCTTTCAGCCAAGATCCATCAGACGTCGGCAATGATATCTCTCTTACTTACCTCCTGTAATACAAGGCAGTCATTTTGTCTTATTGTACACTGTTTCTTGCCATTGAGAACTATGTTGTTGTTGTTAAGAGCTATTGAGTCAATTCCGACCCATAGCAACCCCGTATAGGGTTTCTTTGGAGTGACTGGTGAGCTTGAACCACCGACTTTGCAGTTCAAACAGCTTTGCAGTCTGGCACATTAACCCACAGTGCCACTCCAGGACTCTTATATCCAGTAATAAAAAACATTGAATAATTATTCATTGAGTATGTGAGTAAAAGAATCATGTGGCCATGAAAAGTAACATTTGTTTTTCCCCCCTAAAAATGCATATGAAAAAGACAAATGGAATTACCTTATATTCAGATATTTAATATTCAAAAATAATATTTCAAGGAAAATCTGTAATGATTTACATAAGGTAATCTTGAATTAAGACCCCTGGTAGCAGAGAAGTTAGTTAAATGTTTTGCAGTTAATTAAAAAGTTGGCAGTTTAACCCTACCCACCATTCCATGACTCCATCATACGTAACAGGAACAACAACCACTCCATGGGAGAAAATAACTGTTCATCAGGTTCCTAAAAGATTGTTGTTGTTGTTAAGTGCCAACAATCCTGTATAGGGTTTTCAAGGAGCAGCTGGTGGGTTTGAACTACCAACCTTACAGTTAGCAGTCCAGTGTTTATCCTATAGAGCCATACAGGATTTCTAAAAGATTGTTGTTGTTATGTGCCATAGAGTTGGTTCCAACCCATAGCGACCCTGCATAGAGTTTCCAAGGAGCAGCTGGTGAACTTGAGCCATGGATTTTGTGGTTCAAATCGACTTTGTAATCCATTGCATGAATCCACCACACCACACCAGGACTCCCCAGTCTAGGAAATCCTATGGGTCAGTACTACTCGGTCTTATAGGGCTACTGTAAGTCATAATTGATTCAATGGCAGTGGATTTTGTTGTTGTTGTTGTTGTTAATGTTAAGTTAGTTTTTCTGTAAGTAGTCATATACCAGATTCAGTTTCATGGATTTATCAACAGTTCACAGCATTTTCTTCCTCCTTTATTAATGCTTCAAGTGAGGATACACATTTTGTACAACAAAGCATATTTTTAAATTACTAGACTATTACCTAAATGTAAGCAAGATAGAAATCTAGTTCTGTTTTGCAATTTTCCAGTTTATTTTTATTTCTAGGGGGAGAATGTTTCTAAAATTACTTATAACTTTTTTGTTAGAAAACTACCTAACATCTTTTAGGTAGTTTTAAAACAACAACAAAAAAAATTGAAATTGTGCCTCTGTAGGATAAATACTAGGAGCTCTGATAGCATAGTGGTTACGAATCCGTCTGCTAATCTCATGGTCATGTGCCCATGAAAGGTAACATTTGTTTCCCCCCTCTAAAAATGCATATGAAAAAGACAAATGGAGAAATTAACTTGTATTCAGATACTTAATATTCAAAAATAGTATTTCAAGGAAAATATGTAATGATTTACTACCAGCTGTTCCGAGGGAGAAAGATGAGGCTTTCTGCTCCCATAAAGATTTACAGCCTCGAAAACCCTGTACAGGTTTGCTATGAGGCGGTTCCGACTCCACGGCATATGACAACAAGAGGATAAATACTGGGTTACTAACTGTAAAGTCAATGGCTCAAACCCACTTGGAAACCCTATACTGAGTTGCTATGAGTTGGCATCAACTCCATGGCACTTAACCACCACAACAAATTCATACAATCTACATTGAGTCCATTGCCAGCCTATGACCAGAAAGTCAAAGGTCAATGATAAGTCAATCAGTTACAATTTTCTGTTTTTGTGATTGATTTTGCAATAAGTGACGTTGTATAGCAATAATTAATGTTGTTGTTGTTAAGTGCCATAGAGTCAGTTCCAACTCATAGGAACCCTGTATAGGGTTTCCAAAGACAGACTGGTGAGTTTGAACCACTGACCTTGTGGTTTAAACCTACCTTGTGGTCTGGTGCTTTATCCCACAGTGCCTAGTGATTTCAGGGATATGCCTGTTTGTCAAATGAAATGTGGTTTTGGGAGATGTTACTGTGCAATTTCCTAAGAAGAAAATAGCTATACGTTTTAAGGAGCACTTACAAAAATATGATTATATTTATGAGAGAATGGTGTCTAGTTTAAAAAATCTATGAGGGATCCTTCAGTTCCTCAGATCATATCAGAGTTCCAAGCTAGAGGAGAAAAGGAAAAATGTTGAGACTAAAAGGAATTAGGCATTGTCATATATGTATTTCCTAGTCAGTTGAGTGGTGCTAACAGGTGGCCCTTCAAAAGAAATTGTCACCTAACTGTTGTAGACTTTTGACACTGATAGTCCTGCTGAAGCACGTTCTGTGGGAAGCAAATCAAGGACAAGACAAGACAAGAGAGATGGGAGCTCCAATATAGGACGAAGATCACCCCCTCTAGCACCACAACTCCTCCACACAGATTAGGCTGCTTTGCAGCTCCTAAAGTGTTAAAGAATCTCCGGATTTCTCACAGGTTCTTATGGGATTTTGTTATAATCAAGGTTTACATGCAGCAAATATGTTACAAGATTTTAAGTATATTTAAAATACATTTCAGAAGAGTCTTATGTACTTCATAAGTGAAACAAGATGAAATTAGAAAGGTTGGAAGGAGTGGCTTCATGCAAAATTTTGTACATCCGAGTAAAGCATGAATTTGCTATTTGGAGTGCAATTGGTGGCAACTGAAGAGGTCTAAACTAAGTCCTGGTGTGGTGCTCTGGGCTAATGCGTCAGACTGCAAAACTGTTTGAACTGCAATGTTGGTAGTTCAAGCTCACCAGCTGCTCCTTGGAAACCCTATAAGGTTCAGTATGGGTTGGAATTGACTTGATGGCATTTAACAACAACAACAAAACTAATGGGAGCTTTTAAAAAATACATATACTCTCTTCAGAAAATATATTTTAGAGATAGAAATGACAGGTTTTACTGATGGATGTAAGAGGTATGTGTAAGTATGAAAATACGCAGGCCGGCCTCAGACCCACATCAAAATACCTGGGTGGCTGTTGGTATTGTTACTTAGAGCTGGGTGGGTAGAAACTGAGATTGCATGTGTGAATGTTGCAGGGAGGTTAGAAATCATGAGGGACTTTTGGAAATATTTGTGAGATATTATAAGAGTTTGCTATTACTACAGTAACAATTCACCCCAAACTTAGTGGCTTAAGAAACAATACACATTTATACTTTTATCTTTATAATTATATTTATGTATTTGAAAATAGTTTTCAGATTTTTCCAAGGAAAATAAACATATTTACATTTAAACATCATGTGTCATAGTTTTCCAGTTTACAAAGAAATTATTTTTCAAAAAAATCAGAATGAAATCATCAAGACATTAAAGTATTCCATATTGAATGAAATCAATTCTGTCATTAGTCAGCAGTTGATCTAATAGGTTGTCTTTGCTTTAGTTGTCCTGAAAGTAGACCCTAAGGCATTTTGGAGGTGATTTCAGGAATCAGGAATGAGGGAGCAGGGGACTTGTGACAGGGAAGGAAAAAAGTTAATTCAAAAGTTTATTACTGAAGCTGCTCGTGTGGAAAACAGGGAGCTTGATTTCAAGGAGATTCATAAGCATTTGGAATGCCTCCCAGAATTCTCTGACCAAAGGCAGAAGGCAGGAACATTTATTCATTGGTTCTGGTTCCCCACTGGTTGAAGTTTACCCTTAGAGGCATTAAACCTGCATTTCCCTGTTGCATTAGCACCAAGGAAGAGCTGGCTGCTAGGTCTTCAGGGAAGGCCCTAGGGCAGAAAGCAAGAAGCCCTCAGTGGTGCACCTAAGGGGAGATGCCCCTACTGTGAGATGAACTACAGCATCTGCGACACAAGAAAATTCTGGATGCCTTCTTTGGTTGAAATAGTAAGCGTGTTCATTCAATAGCTCTGTTCCAAGGCATCTTCTTTTCCATTGCCTTACCCTTATGCTAGAACCAGGAACTTTCAAAAGACATCTGGTCACATGGTGTGTTGTATTCTGCAAGTGCATATTCATCTGGAAGAAAGTAATTGTTATAAGAAACAATCGCATAATAATGGTTCAAAAGAAATCATCTTTATTTCTTACCTCTGTTCAAACACACCAGCTGCTCCTCAGAAACCCTGTATGGGTCGCTATGAGTTGGAATCGACTTGGTGGCACTTAACAACGTGTTGCTTTAAGTTACTCAGTTCAACATCTCTCAAATACATTTTTATTTCTCTGAATTGTATCACATTTCATGCATAAATATATATATATAATCATTCTCATATATTTAAGGTGTGATGTTTTGAATATAATACATATTAAAACTTGGTACAGGTTAGGATTTTGTTTTCTAAGGTGGTTGTTGTTAAGTACCATTGAGTCTGTCCCAACTCATAGAATCCTTCATAGGGTTTCCAAGGAGTGGCTGGTGGGTTTGAACTTACAACCTTGCTTTTCCTATAGCACCATACTATGATTCAGGGTAGGGAGTCTTCTAGGGTAGGCAGCCCATACTATCACAAGTGCTGGATGGACAGTAAGTACTTGGTTTAATCACTCAAGCCTTGGGAAACAGGTAAAGATTATTTACTAAATGCCCAAGTACTCAAAGTTTGTAAATCACTATTTAGTGGGTAAATACATCCTCCCCTCACTTTGGCTGAATCATTTATCAATATAGTGTGTATGTAATAGTCCACTTTTTTAAAACTTAAATTTATCAACTGAGATAATCTGACTTGAAATAATTAGCTTGCCATTATCATATTTTATAGCTATTAGATCTATATTTTAATTGATCAATATGCATAATACTTTTATATAAGAACAGCAGTGTTATAGTCCAGGCAAATTTTACCTTGACCTCAAGTAAAATAACCCAATTGTATAATTGGTTCTGTCACTTATTGGCTTTGAGATACAGTAAGAAATCTAACTTTCTCGACATGTGATTAAAATAACAACACAATGAAAAACTTGCTTAACCAAAAGCAAAATGGAAATATCAAATTATCTGACAGAATAGCTCTGATTCTTAAAGTATGCTTTATTTTGAAATCTCATTATACTGACTGTAGATAGATAACTAACTAGATAAATAAATAAATAGATTCTTGAACTAGTCTGTTAAGGATGGGAGGTCAGAAAATGTCAACTTGGCTAATTTCTTATCAAGAACCTGCCAATCACCAAACATTTCAATAGTGCATTCCTGGTTGATCCAGCCAACTGATCCACCAGTTGACGCAGACACAGGAGCAATCTGAACAGAGATACAACAAACCAGGCCAGCTCAACCAGTCCAGATGGTCCACAGAATTGTGAGGAATGGTTGTGGTTTAAAAAATGTTGTTAACACGTTTTTACTAAGATACCATTATAATCTATAATGTTTGTTATTGTTATATGCAGTCGAGTAGGCTCTGACCCATAGAGACTTTGTATAGGGTTTCTGAGGAGCAGCTGGTGAGCTTGAACCACCGGCCTTGGGGTTCAAACTGATTTTTCAGTCTAGCACATTAACCCACAGCGTCATACCAGGACTCCATAATCTGTAATAGTACATATATTACACACATTTATTCTGCTATTCAAATAGACATATGATTTTGGTATCATCTACGTCACACCATTGTTGTTATGTCAACATTCACAACCATTAACTTGGTTTTGCCTGAATCTATGATTTCTGCAGCAATTTACATGAACATTTTAGTGAAATGGTTGATTAGGAAAAACAGTGCCATTCATGCTTTTCTGGATAGACATAATCTCAAAGTGTGTTTGCCATTGAAACTTTGAAACCATGTGTATTAGGTGGCACTGAAAGTTACAAGACACCAAGTAAATGAAGGTGATTTTAACAATGGCAACTATAACACCAGACGAGAAAACAAAAATCAGTGTATGTTTAATTTAACATAGAAAATAAGCAGAACTAAAATGAAATAAAATTCCTACCAGTTTCGTAGTAATCATAGAGCTGAATAGATGCCGGCCTGAGGTTCGCTACAAGAGCATCTTGTTCAACAGAGAATGAAAATTTAATTTCCTTTTGTGTAACCTGGAGACAAATTAATAATGTTAGACAAATTGAAATTTCTTTCCTTAATTTCTCTCCATTTCAAATATTTATAATTATTTTAACAATGTTATTTTCATGATTGCATCCTTATGAAAAAAACAAAAACAAATTTTAAACCACACACACAATCAGAAAAAGCACAATGAGTTAAAATCTTAGAGAAACACATTGCATAAAGTGGCTGTACTAGAAGTGTAAACCAAAATTTGATTGTACACTTACGTTCTCCAGATAGAAAAAAACGTGGGAGGCTTTGCTTTCTACTCGTTGTACTTTACCATCCCTCTGAAGCTAAAAGAAGAAGAAAAAAATGTGCTGAAAATTCGGAGATTAGTAACACAAATGTCTGTTCATTCAGAAAGACAAAAATATTTATTTTCAATTTGGTGGGTTTCCTGCATCTTTACAAATACCTGTAATTTTCCCAGAGAGCCTCAGCAACAAATCACAGTCTTTGAGAGTCATTCATTCATCCAAGTACTTTTTGAGAAATCTGTTTGTATAATACTGATTTATAATTTTTCAGTAAATAGAATACTGAATAGAAGATAATAATAACTAAATATCAAGTCATCTACCTACTTTATTTTTTCATGATTACTTGTCTTGACAATATAAAAATAGAAATAAATGTGAAAATCTCAAGCAATGTACTGCAAGATACATGAAGAGATTTAAATTTCATTCCTTTGAGAGCAGAAAATAGGTCCTTTTTCCCATCAACTTGTGGTTAAAGTATATATAGTACAAAAGTTAACACATTATAGATACATCCAAAGTTATTTTAATTAAAAACACTTAATTCTTTACCTTCTCAATAGATGATTTATCAGGCACAAAGCCGGAGAGCATCTTCACATCAATGATTGCCATGTTCGAAGAGTTCCGCCTTCCCAAATAGCTATTTTTTAAAAGCACAAAATTTAAGATTCAGATACATTTTTATCAGTATTTAGGCCAAAAAATACCAATACAATGTATTCACATGGAAAGCTGTTTAGTTATAGTATAAACTTGAACACAATTTTACAGTATGCCATCTTTCTGAAGCTAAAATCGAACAAGTATGCTCATTATAATTATTATATGTACTTATAGCAATAAAAAATTCCAATATGTACTTTAACTTTTATTTCTACATTTTTCCCATGGTACCCCATTGTTACAAATTTCCATGTGAAAACTAAAGTCTTCACTTAGTAGTTTTGTTCATAGAATTAAAAAAATGTTTTGATTTTACTGAATTTGGTGGCATCTAGTGGTGTGGTGCTGTGGGTTAATGTGCTAGACTGCAAAGCTGCTTGAACTGCAAGGTCAGCAGTTCAAGCTCACATGCTGCTCCTCGGAAACCCTATATAGGGTCGCTATGGGTCAGAACCGACTCAATGGCATTTCACAACAACAACAAGTGGTGCTGTGGGATAAAGCACTGGGCCACAAGGTTGGTTTGAACCACAAGGTTGGCAGTTCAAACTCACCAGCCACTCCTTGGAAACCGTCTAAAGGGTCGCTATGAGTCGGAACTGACTCCATGGCACTTAACAACATACATACATAGTAGGTCAGTAGTTTATATTCACCAACCAATTTTTGGGAGAAAGAGGAGGCTTTCTGCTCCTGTACAAATTTACACCCTCTCAAACCCTACATAGGGTCACTATGAGTTAGATTCGACTCAATGGTAGTGGGTGGGTAGGCATAGCTGGCGCTGTAGGAAACTCACTGGATTGCTAACTATAAGGTTGGTGGTCCACCAGCTGCTCCGAGGGAGAAAGATGAGACTTTCTGCTCCCTTAAAGATTTACAGTATCTGATACCCTATACAATGTTTCATATGAAGCAACACCAATTTCAACCTATTCTTAAATAAACTCACTGGGCAGAACCTGGGATATTCTTGTTTTGAAATTTTGGATTGCAGAATGAAGTGCTTGATTATATTGATTCACAAAATAGGAAATTTAGAAAAACATCTTCTGAGAAATGTTTTCTTTCCTATAACTTCCTTCTCTGCATTCTATTATATACTTTTCAAAGCACATATATTTTTTTTTGATCCACTGGGATAAGCACTGGACTGCAAATCCAGGTCAGTAGTTCAATGCCACCAGTTGCTCTGCAGAGAAAGATGAGGCTTTCTGATTCCACAAAGATTTGCAGCCTTAGAAACCCTGTACAGGTCACTCGGAGTAGGAAGAGACTCAACAGCACTTAACAACAAACAACACCAAGTATCCACCCAGAAACATCTTGGGAGAAAGGCATGTGTGCTTCTAAAAAAACAGCCACTGACACTCTATGGAGTTCTAGTCTACTCAGACACATATGGCGGCATCATGAGTTGGAGTTGACTCAGTGGCAACCATGGGTAGTAGTGGTGGATTCTTTTGTACAGTTTTTGTTGTTGTTAAGTGCTGTGGAGTTGGTTTGAAAAGCAACCATGTACAGAGTTTCTGAGGAGTCCTGGCGTGGTGCTGTAGGATAAGCACTGAACTGTTAATTGCAAGGTCACCAGTTCAAACCCACCAGCCTCTCCTTAGAATCTCTACGGACTCAATGACTCTTAACAACAACAACATAGGGTTTCCAAGGCTTTTTAAATCTTTGCAGGAGCAGAAATTCTCATCTTTCTCCTACAGAGTGGCTGGTGGATTTGAACAGCTGATCTTCATGGTTCACAGTCCTGTGTTTATTCTGTAGAGCCACCACAGTCCCTTTATGCATTTTATTGTTGTTATTAAGTACCATCGAGTTGTTCCCATTCATAGCAACCCTGTATAGGGTTTCCAAGGAGCGGCTGGTGAGTTTGAACTGCCAACCTTGTAGTTCAAACCGACCTTGCAGTCCAGTGCTTTATTCCACAGTGCCATACTAGGAGTCCTTATATAGTTTAGACAATTAAAATAAGATGAAATGTATTCCCCTAGAGAATCAAGACAGGTCAACCTCTTATGGATGTGGTTTCATAAGTAGGCAGAGAGAGACATTATGTTACCTCCATTAGAGGTAGAGATGCGTGCATTTATAAAAACAAAAGAAAAAAGTTATTACCTGGCTGAAACAACAAGGTCAAATTTTTTATCAAATGACCCTTTGCAGATAGCATTGGCTGTATTCACAGAAAGAAGAAACCCAGTTGACTTTCTAGGGAGCAGAATGTTGTATTTCAGGGTTGCCTAGAATAAATACAGAATATATTCTTTATCAAAGAATTGCTTTAAAATTTATTACCATAGCATTAATTTTTCTACTTAAAAGTCAATTTTTACCTTAGTGTTTCTTACTTTTTATTATCAATAGTACAATAGAAATTACTGTTGTGTTATTAAGTGCTGTTGAGTTGATTCCAACTCATATTGACCCTGTACAGGGTTTCCAAGGAGCAGCTGGTGGGTTTGAACCATCAACCTTGTTGTTTGTAGCCCAATGCTCTTCCTACAGTACCACACCAAAGTCCAATAGAAATGATAGCTAACATTTACTAAACAAATACTTCTATGTGCTTTTCATGTAATAACTTTTTTAATGTTTCCAACAATGCTGTGAAATCATGTTGTGTTTAGTTCCCATTTTATTCATGAAATCTAGATAAAGAGAGGTAAGTAACTTGTCAAAGTAAAAAACTTTCAAAACTTATATAACTTGTAAGTAGCAGATTTAGAATGCATTTACATTGTCTCTTGGATAATAATTAAAATTACCTGACTTCTACCTTAAAAAATGAATAAAATTATAACACACCATGTTAAGACTATAGGAATCAAAGCAAGTACCAGTATTACAATCAATAAAGGTGGAAATTGTAAATCTAACAGAAATAGGAAATAGAGCAGAATTAGGAAATAGGCTTAAAGACTTGATCACTTTGAATATCTATAACTCCGAGTATAAAATAATATGTGCATAGCATTATTTATTATAGCACTCTATATAGTAGCCAGAAAAAGGAGCCACCCGAAATATCCATCAATGTCTGATGCAGTGTATATACTCTGGTATGCCTACATAGTATGGAGATGGTGGTGGTGGCTGTGTACTGTGGAGTCTGTTCCGACTCATAGTGACCCTGTACAGAGCTTCCTAGGTTAAATACTTAGAGAGAACACTATTATAAGTCTACAAATAGATGAGAACTAAGAATTTACCATCATGCTGTTAAGTGCCATAGAGTCAGTTTCAACCCATAGCAACCCTGTATAGGGTTTCTGAGGAGTGGCTAGTGAGTTTGAACCACCAACCTAGAAGTTAGCAGTCCTATGCTGATCCTACAGCTCCACACCAGGACTCCATAACATCATAGTTGATAGTGGTGGTGGTTGTGGGCAAGTGAGTTGGCTGTGACTCAAAACAACTTTGTTGTAGTGTTTCCGAGGCTGTACTCTTTACGGGAGCAGAAAACCTAATCATAAACCTAATCATTCCCACACCCCCCACCCCTCCCCGAGAGCGAGAATATCATACTAGGTTAGGTTAAAACAAACAATGGGATATCAAACCAGAAACTCGTAAATATGGTTGTCTAGAAGTGGGAGAGAGTAGGGGCAGCGTTTAGGCGAAAGCAATGGTAGTAAGATTTGTCTGAATATAAATCTTCATGTAATTTTAACTTTAAACTATGCACACATTTTATGTAGTGCACAAAATTAAATGAAATCTAAAGTAAAAAACCAATCCTAAAATTGTAGAAAATATGAGATTGATAAAACCAAACAGCATCAAATTGATAGAGTAATCAAACACAAAACATTAGAACTCAGTTTTTGGTTTATTTTCTAAAAGCAAGTATAGCTCTTAAAAAAGGTTGAAACTTCATTTGATAGTTTTATTTACTAGTACTGGACTCCTGGTGTACAGCACTGCAGTGTTAACTGCAAGGTTGGCAGTTCAAACCCACCAATCGCTCCTTGGAAACACTATACAGTGTCTCCTTGAGCTGGAACTGACTATGACACTTTTAACAACAACAAACCTACTAATACTGTTGTTTTGTTACTTTAAAACTATTTTTTAAAGTTGTCTAAAACTACTTTTAGAGACTTTCTCCTCCTGCAAAGATTACAGCCTCAGAAACCCTACATAGAGTCCCTATGAGTCAAAATTAACTTGAGGGCAACAATAATATATGTATATGTCACTGAAGTATATCAATGATATTAAAATGAAGAAAAAATGCCTGAGAAAATAGATACAAGTACATAATCAAATACACAACACATATTAATACATAGTACTAAATGTGAGTTGGAACCTTAGTAGGAACTCCCAAGTTTGAAAACTATGTTCCCTAGCTCTTTACATTATCAACTCCATACTTTACTGAAATGATCAATATTTCTTGTTGAAATAATTGGGGTATATAAATACAAAATAAAATTAGATACCCCCTCCTTGTTTGTTTGTCTTTTTTTTTTTGAAAGAAACCAAAAAGCAACCACAGATTAATACAGAAATGATGACACATCACAGGAAATACCCTGAAGGGGTTTGGAACAATCTCTGTGAAAAAACAATGACTGTCATTACTTTGTAATATCTACAATATTCCAAAAGGTAAAGTCATAAACAAACACAAAACTTTTTTGTTATAAATAGAGGTGATTATCACACGAGTCTTGGTGTGGTGCTGTGGGTTAATGCGCCAGATTGCAAAGCCGTTTGAACTGCAAGGTCAGTGGTTCACGCTCACAAGCTGCTCCTTGGAAATCCTATTCAGGGGCGCTATGGGTCTGAACTGACTCGATGGCACTTAACAACAACAGCGATCACATGGGTAATTTTTTGTTGACTGGCAATTAAGGGAAAGAATTGAATATTTATCCTGCTCTGTCAGAAGGGCAATTCAACATTACCAGATTTTGGAGGGAAGCTCTTCTTTGCAGAACACCAACTAATAAAGGTGGTGGTGGTGGTGGTGTGCCATGGAGTTGGTTCCGACTCATAGCGACTCTGCATAGGGTTTCCGAGGCTGTAAATCTTTACAGGAGCAGAAAGCCTCATCTTTCTCCCGTGGAACAGCTGGTAGTTTTGAACTGCTGACCTTGAGGTTAGCAGCCTGACCCGTAACCACTACCACTACCAGCGCTCCTTAAAGGTAAAAGGTATGAAAGAATTGGAAAATCACCACTATGTGATCCTTAATGAAACAGTTGCCTCAGGTAAAGCTCATCAATGCATGATGTAACTTCTAAGTGCAAACTGACATGAAAGTAGATATTTCCATTGTATCACTTTATATATTGTAGTTGCAAAGGAGAAACAATAGCACCTCTAATGTAGAAATATGCTGTTTCCACCTGAATTTAATGGTCAAACTTAATCATCACTAATACAACATGTGATGTGTCTCCTGATGCGACTCAATATGAATATCGATCTAACTTTCAGTTTATAGATTTAGGGAATGGGCCAACACAAATCCAGAACGAGAAACATTTGATAAGACAAGTGGCCTGATTTCTTTAGAAAGATAATGTCATGACAAATACAGAAGAATGATAGAACTGTTCACTTAAAAGAGACTTAAGGAGCATAGCACCCAATTGTAATCCATGGTCTTTGATTGAATTCTGGTCTGAAAAGCAAAATAGAATAAAACTAAACAACTACAAAATATATTTTGGAGCAGAGGTTTTAAAATAAGATTATACTACAAACCTATTGTTAATTTTTTTGAGATATGATCATGGAATTGCAGTTACCTGATGGGAAGCCTTTATTCTTTTGGAGCTCCACTATGACATCATTAGAAAGGTCATGATGCCATTTCTAATTGACTTTAGAATTAAAAAAAAGGACGCAAATAGTACAAAATGTGAACAACTCTTGAATGTAGGTATTTATTATACTACTGCAATTTTATGTATAGTTAACATTTTTCATAATTTAGGAAAGAAAACTCCTAATTTACCTGTACATATACACAACCATAGCCATTCACTTCCACCTTGTAGTTGCTGTTAGTTGTTGGCAAGGGAATTTGTTGTAGCAGCAAACGGTTCTCATTATTCACGTGGAAGCCCATATAGAATGCTTGGTCAGAGAATATCAGCGCTGAATTTTGTCTACTTTTAGAGAAAGTGAGGCTTTGAAATAGGGTGAGAGCTTGGAGAGCCACAACAGTGTCCTAAAATAATAACATCATAAATAATATTAGCCCATACTGCAGGATTTAGAAAAGTTAAGCTAACCACAGCTGTGGATCATTTTAACACAATCTTGAAATGAAATAGCCATTGTTTCTGGACATTATAATTCATCGACAATAAATGAAGTTAATGACAACATTTCTGGCTTTAGTTCAACATTTAAAGGAACACAGACAAAAACATCATTTAATAGAATGAAAATCTGAGAGGAGATAAGGAAATTTTAGAGGTGCCTAATGAGTCTGGCTTTGTTTCATCAGATATTAAAACATATAACAAAGCCAAAAATTCACTGGAAAATAGTAGAAAGCCTAAAAATAAAATCAATTTATATATGTTTATTATACAGTTGGCAATTCAAGCTCACCATCCACTGCTTGGAAACTCTATACAGAGTTGCTATGGGTCAGAAATGACTTGACAGCACTTAACAACAACAACAATTATACAGTCAATATTTCAAATCATTGGGGAAATTAATTATTAAGTAAATGATCTTGTGACAACTGGCTGACTATTAAAAAAAGAAGTTTGTCTGTACTATACATCATAAGGAGTCCTGGTGTGGCACTGTAGGATAAACACTGGACTCCTAACCACAAGGTTGGTAGTTCAAACCCACCAGCCACTCCTTGGAAACCCTATACAGGGTCACTATGACTTAGAACTGACTTGATGACATACAACAGCAACAACAACACATCATAAATCAAAATCCATCCTAGATAGCTTAATAATTTAAATGTAAAAAACTAATTCATAATAGTAGAATGTATGGCTAAAGATTTCTATAACAGTTTTTATGCTGAGAGCTTCTTGTAGCATGGTATTAAAGCAAGAAGCTTTAAATAAAGCGATTACACTAAATGAAACTGAAAAGAAAATCTGTATGTTTAAAGCATGATAAAAGTTAAGAAAATGAAAACTTGGCAAGAGCATATTACATCTCAAATCTTATCTTTACTGTCTCTGAATGTTTTACAAATAATCAAGAGAAAGATTAACACCCCACTGGGAAATATGCAAATGATATGACCAGGCATATAACATGAAATAAAAAAGGACTTTTTAAAAATGAAAGCATATTCTATCAAATCAAATAGTAGAAATTTATTTTTATACAGAATGAATTACAATTTGTAATGCTTCAGATCAAAAAGCTTTTATAAATGTTTTTGAAATTATGTAGTGAAAGGTACTCACACACAGATGACAATAGAAATTGATGCAACTTAAAAAAAAGTTTACCAATATGTTAACCTTTCATTTTGAGTGTTCTTTCACATGCCAAGTTAAGTTGTTGATGTTGTTAAGTGCCATCGAGTCGGTTCCGACCCATAGCGACCCTGTACAGGGTTTCCGAGGGTGTAAATCTTTACGGGAGTAGAAAGCCTCATCTTTCTCCCGCGGAGCGGCTGGTAGTTTCCAACCGCTGACCTTAAGGTTCGCAGCCCAATTCGTAACCACTACGTTAAGATGGTATTTAAATTCCCATTTTAAAAATTAAAAGAAAATTAGCTTTTGAACAAACATTTAAAGATTATTACTAGATAAAATACTATACTCTTCAAACCACTTCAAATACAGTAATTTAAAAAAAGGCAAGATTTATAGTGACAACAAACCCATTTAGTTAGATACATGTAATATATAGATTCAAAGGGCAATACCACCAATACAAAATGGTGGCTCTAGTTTTTTGGATTTAGAGATTTGAAAAAGAAAGTTTACCTTTGTGGAGGAGAAACCTCCACGGGAATTTTGCTGCTTTGCCAACCACTGTACAATATGAGAAGCATAAGACAACTCTTCTGAGGTCAGCTGTGGCTTAGAAAGAATGGCCAGCAGGACGTAACAGGTCACCTCTATCTCTGCAGAGGATGCCCAAGGGTAGTAGAAGGAGGATGGTTCTGCCAGTGAGCGTTGTTTTTCTAGTTCCCAGTACAGTGAGCCACCTGATAAAAAGTGCACAGAATTCAGTAGTGTCTATGTCAAAGCATGGAGTATGTACAAGGGGACTTCAAAAAGTTCGTGGAAAAATGAAATTTAAAGAGAATGGAATTTTCCCATGAACTTTTTGAAGCCTTCTTGTATAAGGTGGAACATATTTGAACATATTTGAAGAGTATAAACATATTTGAACATATTTGAATAGTATAAATCTGACTATGGAAAATAAAAATGAGCATTACATTACTCAGCTATCAAAATAAATCAAGTCCTGACACATTCTATTATATGGATAAGCCTTGAAAACATTAAGTGAGTGAAATAAGCCAGTCTCCAAAGGACAGATAATGTGTGGTCTCATTTGTATGAAATACAATAGTTAGGTATTTAACAACCAACGTTCTACAATTGTTGTTGTTGTTGTTAAGTGCCGTCGAGTCGATTCCGACCCATAGCGACCCTGTACAGGGTTTCTGAGGCTGTAAATCTTTACAGGAGCAGAACGCCTCATCTTTCTCCTGCGGAGCGGCTGGTAGTTTCGAACTGCTGGCCTTAAGGTTCACAGCCTGATTTGTAACCACTACACTACCAGAGCTCCATAACGTTCTACAATAGTTAGGTATATAACAACCAAGGTTCTACAATAGTTAGGTATTTAACAACCAATGTTCATTAGTTGTTACCATGCAGGCAGGAGGAAATAGGGAAACGGGGAATCATTGCTCAAGTGGACAACTTTGGAAACAAATAGTGGGACTGGTTGAATGACCTGATAAACACAATTCATGCTGCTGCTGAATTATACGTAAAAAATGTTGAAATGATATTTTTCTGTCGTGAAAACTATAGATGCTAGCTGTTACTAGGAAAGGCCCAATGCACTCACCTACTTTCTTTGCTTTCTTGCTTAGCTTGCCAATAAGAAATTCCCGCTTGTCTTCATGGCCTGCTATACTGAAAGTATAGGCCAGGAGAGCCTGCTCATAGGTGGTAGTAGCTCTGTTCCTAAAAGCAGCCTCTATGCACTGAAGACCCTTTTGAATTGCCACAAACTACAAAGGAAAGAAGAGGAAAAAATCATTTGCACATACAAACACACATGTGCGGAAACAGATGATGTGTTCATTACTGTAGAAAAATCAGGAATGATTCTTGTCTGTGCTGAAAAGTTCAGCGTGCAAATACAACGCATATATTGTAATTTCTACGTAGTTATACATGCAAATGTCATTTGACTATTAAGGAGGGTATTAAATTAGCAGGACTTTGTGGTAGCTACAAACATAGCTTCAGTTGCAATCAATGTGCTATTGGCGCAAAATGTTTTGAGTTAATAATAGGCAACATAGGAGTATTACCAGTGGGCTACGTACCGAGATTGGGTGACCAGCTTCAATCAGTGCATTAATAACATACGCAGTGAGAGAAATCTTGTCATCTTCTTCTCCCTGAATAAAACATAGGTGCAACATGTCAGTCTCACAGAATTCAGAGGGACAGGTGCATTTCTTCATGGATACATTATATTATGAAAACTCAGATTGATTGGTTTTTCTTTTTTTTTGAGGGGGAGTGGGTGGTTAGAGACTGTTTATTTCTTCAAAAAGTGGTATTTATAAAATGAAAAAAATAGTGAATAAAAATCCAGAGAATTTATAGGATAGGAATATCACTTTTTTAAAAGTAGCTTGTAACCCTTAAGAGGTATTTGAAATCAAAGGAGACAGAATGCTTTGCAAATTTCTATCTCAACACTCACCCTCATCTTTACCCTAGAAATAATATAGAATATTGCATGGAAAATGCATGTTATAATAGTATAAAAATCACAAATATAGAAAAGTATAGTATAATATTAAAAGGTAGATCAGTGAAGCAACATATAAAGCAGAAAGAAATTCTAGTATGCATGGGAAACTTTAATCAAATTAGTTTAAAACTCAGTTGGGATGGACAGTATAATTGAAAAATAAATATGATAAGTGTTGACCTGCTTAGAATATAGGAATAGATCATCTATAGGTTACACAATACACTGAATTAAATTCTAGCAGGTTAATGATATTAGTCGTAAAGAAAATAAAAGGGACCCCAAAAGACCAAAGTTTAATTAAAAGGGAGAAAATACAAATAAAAAGTTGTTGGTGTTGTTAAGTGTCGTCGAGTTGGTTCCGACTCATAGTGACCCTGTATAGGATTTCTGAAGAGCGGCTGCTGAGCTAGAACTGCTGCTTTGCTGTTCAAACAGACCTTGTGGTCCAGCGTATTAACCTGCAGCACCACACCTGGACTCCAAATTGAAAATAAGCACATGAAAACTACATGTCTTTAGAACCAACTGACCTATAAACAAAACTAGACATGAAACACTTTACAATGTTTGATCCTATATTTGTGAAGATTTTTGTTTTATGTTGATATTATTAAATGTATGGGAGTTCTGGTGTGGAGCTAGTCAAAAGGTCAGTGGTTCAATTCCACCAGCTGCTCCTCGAAAACCCTATACAGGTTTGCTATGAGTTGGAATTGACTTGATAGCACTTAACAACAATAGCTCTATTATTGATAGCATTGAATAATGTTGGCAGTGGTTCTTAAGGTCAGATTTTTAAATAATCCATTGTCACGGAGTCAATTCTGATTTATAATGACTCTGGTAGCGTAGTGGTTATGAATCGGGCTGCGAACCTTAAGGTCAGCGGTTCGAAACTACTAGCCGCTCCGCGGGAGAAAGATGTGGCTTTCTATTCCCGTAAGGATTTACACCCTCGGAAACCCTGTACAGGGTCGCTATGGGTCGGAACTGACTCGATGGCACTCAACAACAACAACATATAGGGTTTTATTCTGAGGCTGTAAATCTTTATAGGAGCAGAAAACCTCATCTTTCTCCCTTGGGGCAGCATATGGGTTTGAACTGTGCAAATGCAACTGTAATTGGCAATCCGGTGCTTTTCCTACAGTGCCACCAGGGCTCCTGTAAACCAGATGTTGTTGTTAAGTACTGTCAATTCGGTTCTGACTCATAGTGACCCTGTATAGGGCTTCCAAGGAGCAACTGGTGAGCTTGCATTGCCGAATTTGTGATTCAAATGACTTTACAGTCCAGCACATTAACCCACAGTGCCACACCTGGACTCCATATGTTGTTGTTGTTATGTAATAGCTTGGACCTCTGGTAGCGTAGTGGTTACAAATGGGGCTGCTAACCTCAGGGTCAGCAGTTTGAAACTACCAGCTGTTCCGAGGGAGAAAGATGAGGCTTTCTGCTCTCATAAAGATTTACAGTCGTGGAAACCCTGTACAGGGTCACTATGAGTCGGAACTGACTACGTATTACTTAACAACAACAGCATATGTTTATACATATACATACGGAGTCCTGATGTGGCGCTGTGGGTTAATGCACTGAACTGCACTGTCTGCGGCTATATGTCCTAGTTCTCACTCATAGCAATCCAGTATAGAGTTTATAAGGGTTTGAACTGCCTACCGTGTGGTTAGAAGTCCAATGTGCTCATCCGACTTAGGATGTATATATATATATACATCCTAAGTCGGGACAAATATTTATATGTACAACTGCTTATACAGCATTATTTGAAAATTCAACAAGAGTAAGAAATGACTTATAGTTTATATGATAGAGTATTATAAAGTAATTAAGCTTATGTTCTTAAATAATTTTAATGACAAAGTCATTAAAATAATGTCAATGTCATTGCATATGTTGTTCTTTTTTCCAAAGATGACTAAAATGTAGTAGATACTAGTCCCAATTATGGAAACAAGATGCTTATATATCATAGCAAAAGACACTGAAGGAAAGTAATTATACTTGTAGCAAATTATTTGGTAGTAATTGCTGAGTTGTTGAAATGTGAGTGATATTTTGATATATTCCTGATACTAAGTTCTCTAAGCGACTCTTAATAAATACTACCATAAAAACTAGGACAAAAATGTAAATTTAGGAAAAATTCAGAAACAAAAGGCAAAGCCATTCAAACTTACATTGGGGATATTAAGTAAAAGCTAAACAAACTGAAATCAAATAAACTATATTAAAAATACTTTCTTAAATGATAAGCTATTAGTAGCAGTCCTGGTTCTGTTATTTTTCCTACTTTTCTAATAATTCAGACTTTTCTACTAATTCTGCCATTGCCATACTCTACCCCCTCAGCCATCACCACATTTACTGTGAGAAAAAAATCTGAACTTTTAAAGTTTTTAATCCCAGGTCAGGGATTTCTACTAAATTTCTATTTTAAAATTTAAATTTCTACTAAATTAAATCTAATTTCATTGGATTGTCATGATGAAGGAACAGCCCTGTAAGATAGAATGTTACCAGTACCTTTAAAGCATTGTTGAAGACATTGCCAAAATGAAGGAAGCAGCCATCTGATTTCTGATTATTTACCAGCCAGGTAAGAGTCTGGGACTGAACTTTGTCATCAATATATATGTAGCGTTTACTTTGTGCAAATGACTTATAAACAAATGCAGTGAGCCTAGAAAAAAGAAAATACACAGTAAATTATAAATGTTATTGTTGTTAAGTGCCTTCGAATCAGCTATGACTTAAAGTGACTCTGTACAGGATTTCCCAGAGTGGTTGGTAGGCTTGAACTGCTAACCTTGCAGTTAACAGTCAAGTGCTTATCCTACAGTGACACAACAGGATTCAAATTATATGTAGCAAAAAAATAAAAATAAATAATTAAACACACAATAAATTATATATAGGAAATGTAGACAGAGGGACTATTCCTTAAAATGTGTAGCTTGATATAATTGGATTTTTGAATCTCACCTTCTGAAAATCCCTTCTCCCAATGCTGGTTTAATGTGTCAGCTCACCTGTTCCTTTCAAACTACATGTGTGCTGTCAAGTTGGTTCTGACTCATAGCAATCCAGCATAGCGTTTATAAGGAGTGATTGATGGGTTTGAACTGCCGACCTTGTGGCTAGCAGTCCAATGCTCATCCTACAGCGCCACACCAGGAATCCCCCACTTAGGTTGTAGTTGCTGTTGTTGTTGAGTGCTGTTGAACCAGTTTTGACTCATAGCAACCCTGTATAGGGTTTCCAAGTCCAGTGTTGACACACCAGGACCCATTCACTCAGGTTAGGTGCCTCCTTTTCTTCCTTTTCTCTATTAATCATCAGTGTGTCTTAGATGAAGTATTACCTTGCCTATGATGTCTTCTCCAATCCTTTTCTCTTCCCCTCCAGCACAATTCCTGCATTTGTCCTTTCCTAACATCTAAAAATATTGAGGAATTATAGTATGTTGTAAAAAGATCCCTAGGTGGTGTAAACAACTTTTGCTCAATTATCCATGAGATTGGAGTCTTGGGGTGGCACTGTAGGAAAAGCATTGGACTGTTAACTGCAAGTTCCGTAATTCAAACTCACCAGTCACTATGAGTCGGGACCCACTTGATGACATTTAACAACAACAACAACAAATAACCTAAAGGTTGCCAGTTCAAATCCACCCAGGGATATTGTGGTTAAAAAAAACCTGACTAGCTTCTTCCATTAAGCCCTAGAGAAAGCAGTTTTATTAAAAAATTAATAATAAAGCCCTAGAGAGAGCAGTTTTATTTTGTAAAATATAGAGTTATGAGTCAGAAGTCAAGTCACAGTAACTGGTTACGGGAAATTAGAAACATATCTTAGAGGCCAAAATGTAACATTCACAGATAATTGGAGGTCCAGAGGTTCTACATGCTCAATCATGATAAGCTATGATTAGTCTTTTCTATGTACTCCTTTTCACTGTAGAATGGCTTTCTTTGTAGGCAAGCATCAGGTTACAGCCACTAGTGTGTGTAATGTCACTCATCATCATGTCTTTTAGCCTTAGAATCATAACACAATCTATGTTTAGTTGAATTTATTTTTACTATTTTTTAATTTTTCTATTTTACTATTTTCAGCAGTACTTATTTTACTATTTTCAGCAAGCACTGGTCTGTTCAAATATGGAATTTTAATATCTCATCAAGAAAGTGCATATCTGTACAACACTATTTCTAAGTGGTGCTGTTGGAGAGTATAAGAGATATTGCAACTACCTTTGAGGTTGATTTGAGATAATATCAATATTTCCATTGGAATCATTTGTATATTAAATTAGGTTCCATATTACTTACCTTTATCCACTGAGTTACTTTCTGTATTTTGTAATGTTTTGTTTACTTAGCATGCATGCTTTCAAAACCTGGAAATATGAGGTTTTTACCTAAGAGATGATTAAATCCTATTAACTTAATTTATGCATGAGTATATAAACAACTTGAACCAACTCAATGTCACTTGACAACAATAACATATAAACAGCTTTGGGGAGAAGTTTCATTGTTTGAAAAAAACATTCTCAAAGAGCTACTTGATAAAAAATGTCCAACAACGTCTAATGAAATTCACATAAGTTAGAAAACAATTCAAACCATGTGTTTCCTTGTTGAACTTCATGTCCAAAGGTACTATAGGACCCATCTGAGAGTTTATAAGACAGTTGCTTCTGATAACCTAGGACAAGAAAGGAAATAAAATTGTTTTTCAATTAAAAGTTATATCCAGCAGAAATTTGGATAAAATGACTATTCATGCTAGTTACAAATAGATACATACAAGATAGTGGCAGTTGTGTGCCTTGGAGTCCTTTATGACTCATAGTAACCCTGTATAGGATTTTCAGGACCGTGAATCTTTACGGGAGCAGAAAGCCTCATCTTTTTCCTGTGGAGTAACTGATAGATTGGAACTGCAGACCTTGCAGATGGCAACCCAACTCATAACCCACTACTCTACCAGGGCACAGACGTGAATATATTTAATGTACTTACCAAGAGAAAAGAGCTGGGATTCAAGAACTTAACCGAGATTTTAAAATATAAGGACTTAACTGCTTTACCTTTGGTCAGATATCCAATAGCCTTGGATTTGATCTCTTCTGTAAGTTGTTGTGTCTGACTTAGATAGTCCAAGATGTAAATATTGGGAGTGAATAGAGCCATATTCTGCTCTCCACACCCAAAAGGCATTTGGAGAAGATTCTGTAAGTTTTGCATGGCAGAACCGAGAATGTCCCCTGAAAAGCAAATTAAATCAAGATAATATACTTTATCAAAATTGATAAGAAAAATAATATTATGTCATGTTCAAGATCCTTATGCTATGCTATTCAAAATAATTATTTTTATATATTAGCTGATATTTCAGATCTTGCTTCCAAAACTCAGGTGGTGGTATGTTTCCTAAAGAAGGCCAGAGTTTCTGTGGTTAAATGTTGTCAAGTTGGTTCCAACTCATAACCGCCCTGTATAGGATTTCCAAGGAGCTGCTGGTGGGTTTATGCTGCTGACCTTGTGGTTAGCAGTCCAGTGCTTATCCTAGAGTATCACACCAGGTATGTTTCCAAAAGAAGCCTAGAGTAGAAGTGCCAAAACATTTGTGGGAATAACAAAGAGATCGCAAAATGAAGCACAAGAGCTCAAGGACAATCATTAATTTGAAATGACAGAAGTAGAGCCCAAAGTAAACTTATAAAATGCCTACCATGTACTGGATACTGTTATGAGCACTACATTACAATACAATAGCATTTACTCACATTACCGCAATAACGTGAGTAGATACTATTGTTTTCATTTTACACATGAGAAAACCATGATACAGAGAGGTAACTAATCACTCAAAACAGATACAGAAGAGGTAAGAATGAGCAGAGTGCCTGGACTTAACCTCTCCCCTATAATCACACTGGACTGATGGCTTAAAATGTATGTTGTTAGGTGCCATTGAGTTGAATCCGACTCACAGTGACCCTGTATAGGGTTTCCAAGTAGTGGCTGGTGGGGTTGAACAACAGCCTTGCTGTTGGCATTTCAATGCTTATCCTACAGTGTCACGCCAGGACTCCTAAAACTGACATGTCATTGTTAAGTGCTGTTGACCCTGTATAGGGTTTCCAAAGAGTGACTTGTGGGTGTGAACTGCCGGCCTTATAGTTTAAATTGACCTATGGTCTAGTCCACTATATATCTGAAGGAGTCCTGGTGTGGTGCTGTAGGATAAGCACTGGACTGTTAACCACAAGGTCAGCAGTTCAAACTCAGCAGTCACTCCCTGGAAACCCTATACGGGGTCACTCTGAGTCAGAACTGACTAGAAGGCACTTAATAAGGACAACAACTACAATGTATCTGGAAGGGTTGTAGTAGGTATCTTAATTCCTTTCATTTGTATAAGCCATGAGATCATATTATCTTCATTTAAGAGATGAAGAAATGAGCCAGACAGAGGTTAAGCAGCTTGTCCAACGTGATAGAGTAAATGATGAATCTGGGATTCAGAGTTCATCAGCCTGTATGTAGAGTCAAATTTCTCAGCCACTATTCTTAGCCCTGGTGTTGCAATGGTTGAGTGTTCAGCTGCTAGCCAAAAGGCCACTGGTTTGAACCGACTAGTGTCTTCCAGGGAGAAAAGACCTGGTGCTCTACTCCTGTAAAGATTGTTGTTGTTGTTGTTAAGTGCTGTAGAATATGTTTGTCTCATCGTGACCCTGTATAGGGCTTCCAGAGATCAGCTGGTGGGTTTAAACCACTGACCTTGCAGTCCAATGTGCCAGTTTTGAAAACTTTACAGAGGCAGTGCTACCTGTCCCACAGTGTTGCTATGAGCCATGATCCAGCACATAACAACAACAACATGCGTAGCCAGTGGAAGGGATCTCTGTGGTTTGGATAGAAATTAAAACATTTGGAAATAAGATCACAAAAAAAATTAAAAGGGTTTAGAATGACGGTTATAAATATGACCATAGTATCTGTGACTTAATATTTGTTGGGTATCATTTTGATGGTGTACAGAGGGACTGCTGTACTAAAAAGCTCAGGTTAAATCTATTGATATTGACTCTGGGGATATTCTAGATATGAGTTTATTTTTTAATGAGCAGTCATCTGACCTACATTTTTCTACTGCAAAAATTTGACTATAATCCTATGTGTAGTGCAAAATTCCTTCCATTGTTTTCTTTAAATCTCCATCTTAATTCTTTACTCTGGACTGTGTGTAGTTGATGGGTAGACACTGACTAGTCAAGGATCTTAAAAAAAAAAAAAGAAAGCAATCATAGAAGTAATTGTCTTTTAATATTGAGTAGGAGCTCTGGTAGCGTAGTGGTTACGAATCGGGCCTTTCACCTTAAGGTCAGCAGTTCGAAACTACCAGCTGTTCTGCAAGAGAAAGATGAGGCTTTCTGCTCCTGTAAATATTTACAGCCTCATAAACACTACACAAGGTTGCTAAGAGTCAGAACTGACTCCACGGAACATAACCACCACCACCACAAGGCTAAGAAAGCAGTTTTCTGGTTTTTGATAGGGGAACAGTAATAGGTGCATTTTGTCTCTAATTTTTGTGTGTATTTTATGTTATTTCCTGTGACAGAAAGTAAATAGTAGTTGTTCTTGATTAACCTTAAGCTTTTCCAGTTGTTAGCAGGTCACCAAGGCTCTGAGTTTATAAAGTCCTCAAATTAAGATTAAGAAGCTCGACTTGTTGGGTCATCAGCTAAAGGGATAATTACCTTTGTGCAGAGTATTGTTTGTGTCTATCTGTGTGTGATGATCCCAGTGCAAAAAAGTGAATTTTAGATGTTAACCTGTTGAGTATACCACGTTCTAAAAATGATGGTGGTGGTTATATGCCGTGGAGTCGATTCCAACTCATAGCGACTCTGTACAGGGTTTCCGAGGCTGTAAATCTTTACAGGAGCAGAAAGCCTCATCTTTCTCCCACAGAACAGCTGGTAGTTTTGAACTGCTGACCTTGATTCGTAACCACTACGCTACCAGAGCTCTATAAGAAATATCCAAATTTTCCTTTAAGGAGGTGTCCTGAAAGAGACACCACCCTATAGGGCTAATTACAGTACTTTATTTTTATGAACCAGAACAAGGAAAAGAAAGAATCGGAAAGTCTTGGAGTCTGTAGCACTTAAATTCATAGTGTGGTGGAGTGTCTAGTTAGCTACATCAACCTCAATCATTAAATTCTAAGGCTGGAAATGGAACCCAAAATATGACAAAACCAATGAACAGGATGATGGCAGGAATAGATAAAACTTTTCTTTGTCCTTCAAGCCTTTCTATGTTGTTGGGATGTGCTGTTGAGTAACTGATGACTCATGATGACCCTTTCAGGTAGAACAGCATAAAACTGCCCCTGAGAACTTTTAAGGCTGTCATTTTATGTTAGCAGACTGCCCTATCTTTCTCCTATGGAACGACTGGTAGGTTCAAACCAATGACCTTTAGTTAGAAGCTGAGTGTTTAACCATTAAGTCACCAGGTTCCTAAGAAAATATATAATGTGTTGTATTCCAGACTTACCAAGAACAGACCAATACGCTCTAGATGAACCATTCACAAGATTTTCTGGTGATGCTAGAACCACTGATTGGGACACTGTGGATCCTAGAAAACAGTAATTCATTAATTTATTAATTCAGAGCTCACATTGATTTTAAAGTCAGAAGTGACATACAAGGGGGCTTCAAAAAGCTAATGGAAAAATTCCATTATTTTTCAATTCCTTTTTCCCATGAACTTCCCATGAAGCTTCCTCAGATGTTAAGTAAGTTTGCCCTAGTGGTGTAGTGGATTACGTGTTGGACTGCTAACTGCAAGGTCAGCAGTTAGAACCCATCAGCCACTCTGTGGGAGAAAGATGAGGCTTTCTGCTTCTATAAAGATTTATTGCCTCAGAATCCCTATAAGGGTTGCTATGAATCAGAACCTACACGACCACACATAACAACATATGCTAAATAGCTATTGGTGGTGTTGTTTTAAGTGTCTCAGAGATATTTCCCACTCACAGCAGGGCTTCTGAGAAGTGACTGGTAGAATTGAACTTAAAGTTAGCATTCCAGTGCTTATCTTACAATGCCACACCAGGAGTCTGCTAGAGACCATTTTTCTTTGGTTAGCATTTTTGGACAGTATTTTTATAACTTAATCATTAACTTGTGCGAATGGTGCTGCAGTAAACATTGGTGTACAAGTCTCTGAGTCTCTGCTTTCAAGTCTTTTGGCCATACACCTAAAAGTGGACTTGCTAGATCAGAAGGCATTTCCATTTAAACATTTTGAGCAGTAGCCACCGTGTTTTCCACGACAGCTATACCACTTTTTATTCCTACCAGCAATGGATAAGGGTTTCAGTTGCCCCACATCCTCCCATAATGTGCTATTTTCTGGGTTTTTTTTTTTTTTTTTTTGCTTGTTTGTTTGCTTTGTTTTTAATCTTAGACATCCTAGTGGAAGTGAAATAGTATCATTGTGGTTTTGATAGATAATGATGTTAAGCACATTTTTAAGTGTTTGGTGCCTATTTGAATGTCCTGTTTAGTGAAATGTGTATTCAAGTTTGTTGCCCATTTTATGATTGAATAGTCTTGTTAAGTTCTATATCTCTATATATGGGTTATTAGATCATTATTGGACATATGTTTTCTGAAGATATTCTTCTAGTCACTAGCTTTTTACTTTTTGATCAAGTCTTTTTATTTATTTCTAAATGCATATCTATTATGTTTTAGGTGAAAGTTGACACAATAAATTAGAATCCCATTCAACAACCCATACACAAATTGTTCCACGACATTGGTTACAGTTCTCACAGTGTTTCACCATTCTCTTCATTTCCATCCCACCTGCTCTGTCCTCATCCATTTCCTGACCTTTCTTGCCTTCTCATCTTTACTTTTGGTTAGGGTTCTGATGATGGCACAATGGAATTATTTGAAAGTAATTTAGTCCTTTCTAGTAGTCATGTTTTGGAGAAGATCAATAGTAAAGCAGTTAATTGCAAAGCAAAGACAAACAGAGGTCTTATTCAATGTTATCAAGTTAGCAAGACCATGTAAAGGTATCTACTTACCATTTGTGCAAACAAGTGAACCCTGAGTCAACTCTTTTCCAATACCTTCAGGCTAATTGTTGGAAGAAGGGAAAAGGGTTGTGTCATAACCAAATTAGTTTATTATGCAAATTCAGAATATTTACAAATGAGTAATAATGTTTAAAAAGAACAACTTATTCAACAAAAATTATCATGGATAATTAGTAAATGAACTTTTCAGCCCAAGATAATAAAGCAAACCATTTGATTTTGCATGCTACTGAATAAACTAAGCAGTTCTAAAATTGAAGACTAGGATTTTCTCAAAAATCCTTCAAGCTTCAAAATCTCTTTCAAGAATATTATGCATTTGACTATAAGTGTCCTCTACAGGCTGAATGTCTCAGGACTAAATGTTTGTCCCTGGTGTTTCTTCTGAAATATTTGATTGAACTATTAGGCTATCTCTTTGAATGAGTGCTCATCTCTATAATATCAGGGAAATCTGAAAGAGATACACTTCCTAATGAAGACAGACATTTTGAAATGTAAACAGCTTTTCCCTCAAGATCCATAGGTTTCACGTTGAGACCATACCTCCACCAGCAGTGGTTTGATCAGTGTATCTCTCCAGCCAGTGTTCAGAGACCTGGATGATCCTTTTTCACATGGACTAGCCTGCAAGGTTTCAGCAACAACAGTGAGGTTGATGGTACCTTAAATGGCAGAAAATGTCAATGGCAGAGTTAGAATAGATTATTTCTGAGGACGGTGATTCACAGTAGCAGCAACTTGTAAATAAAATTACAGAAGAGAGAGAAAAATAGACCATGGAAAATATGAGCTCTGAAAGATAGAACTTGGTTCCAACTCTCCACCTTTGTCACTAGACAAATAGATACTGGGTGTTCAGTTCTAGAATTCTTGTTTTCCATGCAGGACACCAGGGTTTGATTCCCAGCGAGTGTAACTCATGTGCAACCAACACCCATTTCTCAGTGGAGGCTTGTGTATTGCTAGGATGTTGAACATGGTTCAGCAGAGTTTCAGACTAAGACAAACTAGGACGAAAGGTCTGGTGAAAAGCAGCCAACAAAAGCCAGACCATGGATTATAATGGTCTGATCTGTAACCCATCATGGGTTGGAGCAAGACCAGGCAGTACTACCTTCCATCGTGAATGGGAACACCATGGGTCAAGGATCAATTTGAGGACAGTTAACAACAAGAAAAGGAGCTCTGGTAGCGTAGTGGTTACGAATCGGGCTGCAAACCTTAAGGTCAGCAGTTCGAAACTACCAGCCGCTCCGCGGGAGAAAGATGAGGCTTTCTACTCCCGTAAAGATTTACACCCTCGCAAACCCTGTACAGGGTTGCTATGGGTCGGACCCGACTCGATGGCACTTAACAACAACAACAACAACAACAACAAGAAGCACAGAAAAATGGGAGTGGTACTAAGCAATGAGTAAACTGGCTATAATAGAGAAATAGTCTAACATAAGCTCTTTGGATGATTTACAAAAGAATGCAAAAAAATTAAGGAACTGAAAAATTTACCCAATGTTTGAGGAGTAACCAGCCAAGAATAGGATTTTTTCTCACTGCCACATATGCAAACATTTTTATCTTCAGTTGGGAGAAGTCTGGCTTGGTAAGCATTAGATGATTTCAGTACAGTATTAATCTTTGAGAACCAGATTAAAAAAAAGAGAGAAAGAAGATTTAATTCCTTTATTATAGTTACATAATACAGCTGTGGAAGTCCAAAAGATTAGAAAGGAAATTCCCCACCTTTCATATTTTCTGCTGTGGGAAGAATGACTTCAATGCCCAGAGGAAACCTTCTAAATCTTATTACACAATTATTATAATCTGACCTTTGATACTTACTGACCTTTGACTAATTACTTTGAATAAAGCAATACGTAGGTTTTATATAACAAAGTGATACATTGGGGAACTTTAACAAAATAAGCAAATGCTGTGGTCAATATAGGTTAGTTAATTTATCTGAAAGTCTTATGAGTCTCATTTTCCTTTTTCTATCTATAAATTGGGGCCTTTGTCAGTGTCTCAGTTGCTGTGTATGTTATATCAAATAACAGAAAAGATCTGAAATCATGCATTCCATCTCAAGTTCACAAAGAAAAACTTGATTATTAAGCAAACAGACAAACATAAAAACCTTCTTTTATGTAAGAAATTATTTATTTCCCTGAAAAATAGCTATCACTGAATGCTGCATTCTGACAAACAAAGTAGACTTCACATACTTGATTTCTTTCAACAAACTGAATCATTTAAACAATGGATATGTTGGTTAAGTATGTTACTTGGCATTTTGGATATGTCAGTCTGTAACTATTATTTACTGATGTTGATCGAATACATGAATGTAAATAAAGTGTTGAGTTTGAGGACCATACTATATTAAAAACCTTATTGAAACAAAAGATGAGCCAATAAGACATACTGAAGGCGATAGGATAAGTGCTACTAGATTACTAGCCACAAGGTTGGCATTTCAAACCTACCAGCTGCTCCTTGGGAGAAAAATGGGGCTTTCTGCTCCTGTAAAGTTTTGCAACCTTGGAGACGCTTTATAAGGTCACTATGAATCTGAATCCACTCGATGACACTGACTTTGAGTTTTTTGGGTTTGAAGGTCATATAATTGCTATATATATTGCTGAAATTTGTTATTTAGGTAAAGGTTAAAGATAGGGCGGACGTCAACTCAACTACCTACTATTTGCAACATATTGTTCAAGGTTTGTCATTTACCTTATCCTAAGGAGCTCTGGTAGCGTAGTGGTTACGATTGGGCTGCGAACCGCAAGATCAGCAGTTTGAAACTACCAGCTGTTCCGCGGGGGAAAAAGAGGAGGCTTTCTGCTCCCATAGAGATTTACAGCCTCGGAAGCCCTGTACAGGGTCTCTATGAGTTGGAACCAACTCCACAGCACATAACAACACAACAACAATGGAGTCCGGGTGTGGCGCTGTGGGTTAATGCGCCAGACTGCAAAGCTGTTTGAACCGCAAGGTCGGTGGTTCAAGCTCACCAGTCACTCCTTGGAAACCCTATATAGGGTTGCTATGGGTCGACTCAATGGCACTAAACAACAACAACATTCAATTCGCACAAACATAGACAATTATGTATTCCTAGCAACATTTTGCCCACTGACCAAGCCTTGGTGGTTTCAGGGCTAAGCGCTTAATTGCTAACCAAAATATCAGCAGTTTGAACCCACCAGCTGCTCCGTGGGGGAAAGATGTGGTAGTCTGCTTTTGTAAAGATTGTTATTGTTGATGTTGTGTGCCATCAAGTCGGGTCCAATTCACAGGAACCCTGTATCCAAAGAACTGCTGGTATGTTTGAACCTCCAATCATGTGGTTAGCAATCCAGTGTTTATTCTATAGCATCACACCAGGAAACCCTATGGAGCAGCTCTATAGGGCCTATCGGGTCACTATGAGTTAGAACTGATGGCAACGACATTGTTTTAGGTTATAGAGGCTAAGTGTCTTATTCAATGCAACAGAGCAAGAAATAAACGTAATCATTTCTATGCTTCATCTGGTATGAAATTGTTGCTTTTCCACAACTACTACCAAACAGACAAGAGCCCATGAAACCACTAAAATACAATATATTCTCAGTAATCCAAAGGTGAAAGATCAGACAGATTTAAAAACTAATTTACAACATTCAGCTTAATTATTTCATAAGCCCCTCTGTTTCAGGAGAGTCGCATGAATAAAAACCTCTTCTTGGCTATGCTGGAGGACTGACGGTACTAGATATTTCTTCAACCAATCATTCATCCCCACACCACCCCCTTGCACGTAAGAAAAAGATAACTTACTTACATCATAGAGTTTATCTTTAGTTCTTTTATGTTCAGCCAATCACTCAGCTACATTAATTTGTTATTTCTAAACCCAATACTGAATGATTGATAAGCTAGTTAATGTTTTCAAAACTTACTTAGGAAATACTAAGTACTTACAAAGTCCCATATAACTCAAATTTGAAGATAATTTGCCTGGAAAGGAATTGCTATTTATTAAAGAAACTTAAGGCAATACCTGAGTACATCTATTCAGGTAGTTGAAGACATTAGCTTTCAGAATGAATGCTTCTCCACGAACAACTGAATAGGGGAGAGTGAGATCCACAAAGAAGGGCTGAAAAGCCGTCAGCGAGATGGTTGGGGAGATGCCAAATCCAGCTTTATCATTTAGGCAGAATCCATTGGCCTTCCATTGTGTAATAGTATCAGGAACAGTAAGAGGAAGACTGGCTTTACCTGTGGAGCTAAATGAGAAGATTCTGGTAAGACTGAAGAGAAGAGCTACCACCATATAATACAAAGTAAGTAAACAAAAATATTGCTACTAGGGTTCCAGTTCATACATGGATGGGTTTATTCCAAATAAAACATATTTAAATATGTCTCTGCAATCAGTGGATGGCTGCAGAAAAGTTCTCTCAAGTAACACACTCGTCTTGGTCTCATTTAGGACTTTTGGTGTGGTGCTGTAGGATCAACACTGGACTGCAAACCACCAAGTTGGCAGTTCAAACCTACCAGTAACTCCTTGGAAACTCTATGAGTCAGAATTGACTCAATAGCACTTAGCAACTGCAAATCTCATTAGGGGGCCTTCAAAAAACAGGTCCAATCAAAACTGTTTTCCAAGGGGGGGAGTCTAAAGAAACAATATTGAGAGATTTTTTTTTTCTCCAAGGAAATAGCGTGATTTTTAGGAAGAAGTTTAAAGAAAATTGAAAACTGCATTGGTGAGAGAAAGTCCAGGAAATCTGTGCCAAGGAATGTTTTCTATTACAACAATGCCCTGCTCATACTTCAAGGGTTGCGAGGGCTGGTCTACAAGAATTTCATTGAAAAGTCTTAACTCCATCTATCATGCAGTCTTGATCTTGCCCTCAAAGGACATTTAAAAGGAATATAATTTGAGTCCCCCAAAGGTGTCCAAATTCCCATTTTGATATGGTGAATATCAAAAAGTATAGAATTCTTAGGAGAAGTAATTGGTGCCAAGTGCAGTCAAGTCAGTTTTGACTTATAGTGACCCTGTATAGGGTTTCTGAAGAGCAGTTGGAGGGTTTAAACCATGGATACTGTGGTCCAGTGGGTAAGGACCAGAGAGATGGAAATACCACCTTCAGAAGTGTACACAACTAGATGGAGGATGTGTTGAGAAATAATAGTTGCACATTTTGGTATTTTTGTTTGAGAAAGGTTTCTATGATTTCACAGCAATACTTCTTGATCCTCATATATAATTAAATCATTACACTTGCTCAAAGCTTTATATCCCTTCCAGACAGATACTCTTTGCTAAAGCACAACAGTTGAATTCTCTTTCTTTATCCCATTCATCCTCTGTTTAGCTGCTTGTCATTCCTTATCTACTTTGTACTTGTTGTTAAGTACCCTTAAGTCGATATTGCCTCATGATGCCTCCATGGGACAGAATAGAAAGTTCCTATAAGGTTTACTAGACTATAATTTTTATAGAAGCAGATCACTAACTTTTCAATCAGTGGCAAAGTGCTTAACCATTGAACCATCAGGATTCTTTTTTTTTTTAAAAAAACAACCTATCTATAAAGAGGAGCACTAGACTGCTAACTGCAAGGTTGGCAGTTCAAACCCACCAGCTGCTCCTTGGAAATCCTATGCAAGGCAGCTGTGTGTCAAAACAGACTTGATGGCACTTAACAAGAACAACCATCTATAAAAAGTTCCTTTTTTCCTTATGTAGAAATGTATTCAGTATATCAACTTCTGTAATCTTAGACACTTGCTCTAGCTGTTAATTCTGAGTGCTTATCTTTTTACTCTATTTTAAATCTTAATGATGCTCTATTATGGTGGTGATGGTTATGTGCTGTGGAGTTGGAACCGACTCATAGCGACCCTGTACAGGGTTTCCGAGGCTAAAAATCTTTACGGGAGCAGAAAGCCTCATCTTTTAAAGTTCGCAGCCCGATTTGTAACCACTACGCTACCAGAGCTTTGAGTTATTGTGTTGGAGAATATTGAAAGTGCCATGGGCTGCCAAAAGAACGAACAGATCTGTGTTGGAGGCCAGAGTGCTCCTTGGAGGCCAGGATGGCCAAGCGTTGTCTCTCATACTTCAGACATATTGTCAGGAGGGACCAGTCGCTGGAGAAGGATATCATGTTTGGTAAGGTGGAGGGTCAGAGAAAAAGAGGAAGACCCCCAGCAAGATGGTTTAGCAAAGTGGCAGCATTGATGGACTCAAGTGTGGCAACGGTAGTGAGGTTGGCCCAGGATCGGGCAGTGTTTCGTTCTGTGGTGCATAGGGTCACTATGAGTCAGTACCAACTAGATGGCACCTAACAACACATCATGCCTCACTTATTTAGATAAAAATGAAGAAAAATAATTAAATGCACATAAACCATAATTAAAAGAAACAAAACCAAAACTCACTCGGTTGTGATAAGATTCCAAACCCAAGTTTCAGGAAATGATTTCCGCAGTGTGTCAGTATAAGATCGAGAAGAATCTAACTCTGCAAAATCTTTAGTGTAAGCAGCACTGTCACTGGAAATTGTTGCTAGAGGAAGACAAAACATAATGTCAAAGGTAAGTGATTTCATATGTACAAATTACAAATTAAGTTCTTGTCAAATAAACTTGTTTTGAGAGAATAAGACAATAATAATAAGTCCAAGCTATTGAATTATTTATATGTCTTAAGTCACTATTAAAACGATTTTTATGTATGTTAATTCATTTAATACTCACAATAATCTTTAATAGCATTTGAAGATCCTACTTCTAGTGAATAATCTATGAGACTCTTATAAATGTTTATTAAAAATAGAAGGATATTAATTATTCATGCTGTAGTCATCTATCATTAATATTTTGATATTATTTTTTGATACAGTGATATAAATCATATTTTGATCATTTACCATGCTGTCATACATGCCATAGGTTATTTCTGGGACTTCTGTTCATTCAGGTGATCACTTTGCTCCATGATAACCTTTACAGGAGTTCTGGTGTGGTGCTGTAGGATAAACACTGGACTGTTGCTAACCACAAGGTTGGCAGTTCAAATCCACTAGCTGCACCTTGGAAGCCTTATACAGGGTCGCTATAAGTTGGTACCAAGTTGATAGCATTTAACAACAACAGTCTTTTTTACTGGAGTCCTGGTATGGCATTATAGGATAAGCACTGGACTGCTAAATGCAAGTCTGGCCGTTCAAACCCACTGAATATTCCTCAGAAACCCAATACAGACGTTATGAGTTGGAATCAATTTGACAGCACTTAACAACAAACTTTTACTATACTCATTCAATTATTACAGTTTTATATTCCATTGTTAAAGTCTAAATTAGAGGCATCTCTGCAATTTTTCTTCTTTTCCAAAATAATCTTAGCTATTTTTGAGCTTTCGTAATTCCATAAGTATTTTATAATGCTCTTCAAAGTTGTGATTTTTTTTATCTGAATTTCATTGATGTTCTAGAAAACTTGGGGAGGAGAGTAATGTTACATCTTTACCATGTTAAATCTCTACATTCAGCACAAGGTAAAGATGCTCACCTATGTCTTTCAATAATGTTTTCTATTTATTTTCTCATGAAGTTCTTGTATAATTTTGGTTAGGCTTGTCTTATACATTATTTTTGCTACTATGTTGTATGTAATTATAAAATTTAATTGTTAGTATAAAAGAAATTTTCATTTTGTTGATCCTCTGTTTAGCAAACTTGATGAGTTATCTGATTATTTTAACAGCTTTTTAATTGTGAGCTGATTCTCTTTTTCATTTGTTTGTTTTCTTATGAATAATATCATGCTTCAGCAAAATGACAAACTTATACATTTATTTTCAGTAATTTATTTATTTCATTATCATCTTTTGCTTCATTACATTCTCTAGTACCTCCACTACAATTCTGAATATCACTTTGAATAGCCGGCAGTTTGCTATTATACCACATTTTAATGTTGTTGTTGTTAGGTGCCATTGAGTCGGTACTGACTCAATAGCTACCCTATGTACCACAGAACAAAACACACTGCCTGGTCCTGGGCCAATCTCACAATTGTTGCTACATTTGAGCCCATTGATGCTGCAACTTTGCCAATCCATCTCACTGG